GAATCAACTCGACAGCACTAACAACAAATAAATATTATATGTTATATATATAAAATTAACTATGACCCAGCGTATTTAATAATACAGGTAACTCCCAAGAGAAGGATAATTCTGTACACTTGGGATCTCTCCCTCTTTTTCTAAGTTTTCCTAAGCAAAAAACCTAAATTGCTTTACTAAAAGGAGAAGACCAATGATGAAAATACTATTTACATACTTTAGAAGAGGTAGTGATTTAAGATATGAGAAGTTAATATTAAACCTCAAAAGGATAGTTAAAAGACTAGATCAGGAGATATACGCCCCATGTGATACTTTGTGTTTTTGGGACTAGAGCAAACTTTAAGCCTGATCAATATCAGCAATAAATTAATATAGTCTTGGAAAACAAGAGTGAACTCGATGGAGCAGAAAAGTTGGAGAGTTACTGAGAGAGAGCCTTAGGGGTCAGCACTATGAATTAATCACCACAGGAAAACAAAGCTTAGTGTTGGGAGTAGTTCCAGAGGAGCATCCAGCTGAGAGCCAATGGAATGAAGGAGCAGCGTATACAGAGGGCGATGAATTGGAAAGATGTCGGAGGGGTAGTTGGGTTATTTGGAGAGCTGAGGGATTTGCCCACCGATAAAGCCTTGAGTGTGGAACTGATGCCGGAGAGCAAGATCTGGGAGATTATACATCCCCATGGGCACTGGAAGTTTCCATGCTCAGAGGAGAGGCTACAGGTAGACTCCTCCCGTCAACCTGGCTTCTCCTATCCATCTCCCTAGAACATTAAATATAACCGACAGGGGGCCAGAAAATTTCAATACAAAGACCAAAAAGAAACCAAGTATTTAGGGAGAAACACTACCGTAAAAAGCCACCAAATTCAACAAGCAAAAAAACAAACGTCTGAGGAAATATAGTTAATTAGATAGGCAAAAGATTTTATGATAAGTTAACATCCTCAGAAAACTTTGAGAGGATATCACAGAAAAGAAATAGCTGCACATCTTGGAAATTTCAAATGTAATAGACACATATTAATAGAAGAATTGAATAGACAAAAATAAAAAGGGAGTTCTTACCTATGAGAGAATGGAAATCCAATTTGCAACAGACTTGAAATGCTATGGAGTCCTTGTATTCAAGGATATGGTACATTTTCTCCCTTTATTTACATCTTGTATATCTTTCAGTTAAAATTTGTAGTTTTCTTCTAAAGTGAGCTTTCCAAAGAAAACCATTGTCTCGCAAAAGAAGGCTTAAGTCCATTAATCCACTATTGAACATTAGAAAATTATATTAACATTGCGGGGGAGAAAAGGAGAAGGAGAAAAAGAAAAAAACAGCAGTGTTAGCAGCAGCAGCTGCTAAACTGTGCCCATGGTTATTTTGGGGACAAGAGAATAATTTATAATATAAATTTTTTTTCATATTGTGGGTTATTATTGAAGATATTGGCATTGGCTTTCAAACATTTTGACCACAACCCACAGAAAGAAATGTGTGCAACCCAGTGCATATATACACATATGTATGTACGAACAAAGGTTTCAGAGAACAGCACTTAATCCATGGATTATGAACTCCCATTTTATTTTTTAAAAAACTTGTCTTTCATTTAAATGCACTTCCTAAGCCTGATGCATATAGCTCCCAGTCTGAAAAGTGTGGTATTAAGAAACCTTATAGAAAGCTACCTGTCTATACCCTCCGAAATACTCAGCTCCCATGGGGCTGGAGTGGCCTCCCAGGGGTCCATTTGCGTGAAGGGCCGGGAACCTCCTGGGAAAGAGCCTCTTCTAAGGGAAAAGGGAGCCTTGCCCAAGAGGCTTGACACAGGAGCAAAGTCTTTGATCCTGGAGTGGAGGGAGGATGCTCCCCGGAATAGCGCCAAGTGTCTGTTCACATCTGGGTCTGGCACAGTTTCCACGGAGACCATCAATCTCGGAGAGACAGGGAGGAAGCAGTGGGCCAGAGAGGGGCTGTAGGGAAAATCCATGACAGGTATTTCAGGAAAACTTCCACGAGCCCAAGGAGCGACACAGAGCCAGGCAATTCTAGCGTTAAACCCCACATTCCCCGTATTCCAAATCTCTCCCTGGGCAGTCAGCTTCTGAAAACGTTTCATTGCACCAATAATTCAAGTTAAGGTGTCCATCTCACTAAAATAATTAAGCTTGAAAATAAACTACAAATGAAGTCGCAATTCATAAATATGCTCATTCTTTTTTGGGGGCAGCTTGGCCTTTAGCTGTGACTGACATACTGCCATCCCCCATTTTTGCTCCTTGTGTATCAGCAATAATGGAACAGTCATGCGTAGCTTAACAACAGGGTACGTGCTGAGAAATGTGTCATTAGGAGATTTTGTAGTTGTGCAAACATCATGAAGTGTACTTACACAAACCTAGATGGTATAGACTACTATGCACCTAGCTAAATGGTGCAAATCTTAGGGGACCATCGTCGTTGACCGAAACATCGTTACGCAACACATGACAGTAATTACAACAACAATGATATTACATTTTTAGACATTGCCTTTTATCTCAGTGTGCAAGCCATCACCGACTCGTTAATCGTCAGAACACTTCTTTGAGGTTACCTCAGAGGGTAATTTGATTATTCTTTTTATGGACTGAGAAGCTGCAACAAAATTATAGTGACATGCCCAAGGTCATACAACAAATTAGAGACAAGATCTAAGACTCCTAAATCTTTCTTTCATGCTGGCAGGTATCCCTCCTCCTGCTAATTATTATTAGGGACATTCAGGTCCCAGAGCATATTTTATTTGGCTAGCATTTATACACCCTAATAAACATTTTGGGTTTTTTTTGGTAAGACAATGGGTTCATTAGGATTAAAATTTAAACAGAGTATTTCTTCTTCTTCAATATGGATATATCATGTGCTGTTTTTAACATGTCCTTACATTCTATCCTCAAGTTTGTTTCATTTTTAATTTGGCACAGAACCTGAGTAACTAATGATATTAGCATAGATAGCTAGGAGTAGGAGGAGAGACAAAGAGGCAGCTTGAAGTTTAAAAAAAAATTTATTTATTGAGGGTCAGCCCCACAGCCTAGTGGTTAAGTTTGGCACACTCTGCTTCCACGGCCCAGGTTCAGTTCACGGGCCCAGACCTACACCACCCATTGGCAGCCATGCTGTGGCAGCAACCCACATACAAAACAGAGGAAGTCTGGCACAAATGTTAGCACAGGGTGAATCTTCCTCAAGCAAAAAGAGGAAGATTGGCAATGGATATTAGCTCAGGGTGAATCTTCCTCAGAAAAAAAAAAAAAAATTATTTAAGGGGCTTTGGGCTGGGCTACAGGAGCAATGGCTTCCTCCTTGAGCAAGAATCTCTGCTTCTCCTTTCTTCTCTTCCTCCTAGTTGCAGAGGGATCCTATGAACTGCTGACTTCTTTAACATGTTTTCTTTCAAGAGAAGTGAGGTATGGAGGGAAGAGCTCAGCTGGGCAAGTCACTTAAGTCCTTGGGGTCTCAGTGTCTCCAGCTGTAAGACAACAAGGCTGGTGAGATGTTGTTAGGGGTCCCTCCAAGTTCAGCCAACCCGAGATTCCACTCCCTTTTGTCTCTCCTTGACATTTGCTTATATCTCATGCTTTGAAAGAAAGGCGTATTTTATACATGTCAGTAAAGACTCTTTGCCTGTATATTTATCTGAATGTTCCATGAAACTGAATCTTTGTCTAGTGGCCCATGATTTATTTTATTTTCACTTGTTTCTCTCTCTTTGTCCCCCTTTCTCGTGGAATTCCAATAGCCTGAGAGTCCAACAGTCTGCAAGACTCTTCTCAGATGTCTAAATTGTACCTTGATTGTACTAAATATTTTCAAGTAGGACTCTTTATATGAAACAACAGCGATTTCAAAAGAGCCAGGGTTATCATCATGGATTTTGCCATGTTCCAGGCTCAGTTTCCCGCCAAGGGTATTTTTACAAATGCCACAACCGAATTTCCTTCTTTTGGATTAGGATTAATTGCCTCACTCACATAAGCACTTTCTGGTGATTCTCTAACAGCACCACAATAATGCACTTTTTTTCCCAAAAGAGAATCATAGAAAGCAATATCCTCCTAGTTACTCTGTGATACAAAATGATGAACGGCTCAACCAAAATCTCCTGCATCTGGATACTTCTAGGAGCAGATCTTATCTAGATTGCTCTAAATAATTTGTCTGGGATACAAAAATATTCCACCTAGGCTAATTACTCCAAACTACTATGCCCTACTTCCTCACCAAGTGGGCTTAACATTCTGCATTCCTTTCAGCGAACTTCTGAAGGATTATTGTGAAACTACAGATTTTTGTGTGAAAACCTGCATGGAACACATTTAGTTAATATTCTAAATCCACCTAACACGGTACGTTCATTGTGTAAACAGAATTAATGTTAAAACAATGTTTGCTTCAGTAAACATTAATTATTATTATTATTTTTTTCTTGAGGAAGATCAGCCCTGAGCTAACATCTGCTGCCAATCCTTCTCTTTTTGCTGAGGAAGCCTGCCTCTGAGCTAACATCCGTGCCCATCTTCCTCTACTTTATATGTGGGATGCCTACCACAGCACGGCTTTTTGCCAAGCCATGCCACGTCTGCACCCGGGATCCGAACCGGTGAACCCTGGGCCGCAGGAAGCAGAACGTGTGCACTTAACCGTTGTGCCACCAGGCTGGCCCCAAACATTAATTACTTTATATTTCTTATTAAATTGTAATAACCATGGAGATCATTCCTTATTAATTCTGCATGGTTTTTTTTTTCATTCTGGCATATCTACAATTAACTTTAAATCTGTAAAGAGTAATACTCTTGCTGAATTTTGCAAGGGACCTAATTCTTGAAGAATCAGTAAAATATATTAACCAGGTTTGTTTTTCATGTAAGCCAGAGGCCAGAGCTGAAGGGCATAGGCCCTCTCTCTTGAGTCTATTTTGGGATCACATTACCTGGCGTGGAGAGCCGACCATCTCTCATGAAGCATCACAGCTGTCGAATTGCCCCCGGCCACACTACGGGACAGTTCAGATTAGACAATGAAAAAGAATCGCATGTCCAGTCTACAGGATGGAGAAATTTGCCAGCAAGTGAGCACTTGTTTATGGAAGGCAGTGCCCTCTTGGATCAGACAAACCTGTTCTTTGTTCACAAGTGCCAAGACCCACGCGTGCAGGTCGAGTTACTTCCTGGGAGCGAAAGATCACAGCAGCGTTACATTTTAAAAATTGCATTCCTAAATCAGAAGGAAACACAGTGCAGCCTTCAGACACTGTCCTAGATTCCTTCTCTCCCTGATTTCCATTGCATGTGGCTGTACAAGGGGAAAGTAACGGAGTCCTTCTTCTCTTTTGTTTTTCTTTTAGGACAAATGAAGTCGAGGGAGGTTCTGGCAGCCGGATGAGGCGGGCAGGCGCACTGCAGGAGAGCTTCCATAACGTTCCATAAAAGCAAACCCCAGCCAAATGGCTCTGACGACAAGATTAACTACACAAACCAGGTGGGACTTGTTTTTCCGAGCATGACAGAGCAGGCTGGAATTTCACTTCAGTTTACTAACCCGTTGTTAATGCTGGTTTATTTCATAGAAAGTGGCACCTTCCAATCTTTAACAGTTTACCTTTTTTTTCAAAGTAGTTTCAAATGAATTTATGTTATTCTCACAGATGCTTTTTCCTTCTAAAGAAAAGCATCTGAGGTTATAAATATTATACATGCGAAACAGAGATTGTTGTGAACCAATTTAGAGAGATGCAAAGAAGAAAATAAAAATTGCCTCTACCGTTCTCACTCAGAAATAACCACCACTGAACCTTGGATTTTTTTTTCTAATTCATTCTAATTTATTTTGTCCCCCAGGTTTGCTACATTTTAGCTTTAAAACACTCCTTTGAAGTAAGTAGATCAGGAATTATGGCAGTTATGCTGATGAGGAAACTGAGGCCCAATGAAATTCTATGACTACCCAGAAATCCATGGAAAACTAGCATCAGACCCCAAGCTGGCCCCACGGAGCCACACAAGGACCCTCCCAGCTTCTCTCCTTACGGGCGGCTTAACCGTTCTGTTGCCTCTGTGACCAGCGCGATGCTTCTCGAATGTCAGGAGGGATTTCTTTTCTCCATGATTGCAATGACTGTCACGCCTCCTTAATTCACAGATTCTCTACTCGCAAATTTGCCTACCCGCTAAAATTTATTGTAACCCCCAAATCAATATTCCATGCTTGTGCTACTTGTGGACGTGCAGAGAGCGGCAAAAAATTTGAGTCGCCCTTTGCACACATTCCCAACTGAGGTCAAACCAGGTGTCGCTTTACCTTCTTGTTTCAGCTGTCAGACTGGAAACTCGTGTCCTTTTAATGGTCTATGTAGTGCCTCATCTTTTGCATTTTTGTTGGCGATTTTGCTGTTTAAAATGGCCCCCAGGTGTAGTGCTGAAGAGCTATCTAGTGTTCCGAAGCACAGAGAAGATAGATGTTAAGTATGCTTTCTTCAGGCATGGGTTAAAGTGCTGTTGGCTGTGAGTTCATACTGCTGGACTGATGAAAATGTTATCAGTGGGCCAGCCCTGGTGGCTAGTGGTCAAGTTCCACACACTCTGCTTCAGTGGCTGGGGCCCAGTTCCAGGCGTGGAGCTATACCGCTTGTCTGTCAGTGGCCGTGCTGTGTTGGCAGCTTACATACAAAAAGAGGAAGACTGGCAGTGGATGCTAGCTCAGGACGAATCTTCCTCAGCAAAAAAAAAAAAAAGAAGAAGAAGAAGAAGAAGAAAAAAAGAAAAATTTCTTCCCAGAGACTCCTAGGAACATAACCATGTATTACTCATAGGAGCAAATACAATATCACCTAATTCAAAGTTTGTAGTGAACATAGCTACCACGAATAAGTAGACTCGACTGTATCATTATTGTGGCTGTTGTTGTTATTGCCTGATAATAAGTGGTGTGGCCTCTGGGAGAATTCCAGCTTACTTTTTAGACTTATACAGCAAGATCTGACTTTAGATTACACTTCTTCCTGCCGCGGATGCTGGGGAGCTGCCATAGCACCCCTGGCACCCTCGAGGGCACTGCTAGCAATTAGTCGCCATTCCAAACCCTCACACCTGTTAACTGAAGCTCGGCTGTCTCACGTCTGGTTCTCTGGGAACCAGAGAGAGTCTGTTTACAAGTTAGGGCAGGCTTGCTCCTGGTTTTGCTTTGAGAGTATTAATGTCAATGTCCTGGGGGCCTGGTCATCAATCCTACTGTTATCATTGCTCTTTCGGGAGATCCAGGGTCACTACACAAGGAGAACCCTGCTGTCCTCCTTTGACACGCTAGAGTCCCTTAGGCAGACATACAGACTAGACCTCAATGCCTAACAGTGTTCTTTGAGAGACAGATGACTCGCTGCTAAGGAAAAATACAGGTAACTCATACGCAAGTCTTAAATTTCAGTACATTGAGAGCAAATAAATCAGAACATATATGGCTTTGCTAACCCTTTAAAGAAACCTTGGTTTCAAGTGGAAAAACTCACTCAATAAAATGTCTAATGAAAGGAGGAGAATATTCAGAGTGTTTTTTTTTTCTTTCAGGAAATATGAGAGCTTATTTTCTCTGAGAAATTCCAATGGGACTGATGACAGGCATCTCACTTAAAATGGAGTAATTCAACTGGTGATAAATAGATGTTTTGTTTCTATTGCATGTGGATTGCAGTTTCTTGATAAGGACAGTCATGTTGCCAACCAAAATAACCATCACTAGTGAAAGATCATTTCTAACTCAATTAACCTAAAAAAAACAAGAGCAAACTAATTTGGACACGAAGAAATTATAGTCCTCTTGATACGTATGTTATGAAGGTAATTATTTATCCTTAGAAATAGTCACCTTTATGATAACCTTCAGTACTAAAATAACCAAATTCCTGCCACAAAATCCAAAAGATGTGAAAACCAGCAGTTGCAGGAAATCAAATTATTCTAGTTGATAGACTCTAACTACCACTCTGATAAAGCCAAGAAAATATAGTTCAAACAAGGAAATCGTAAGAGTAGTCAACACATATGGATATCAATCTCTCTTTTAAACCCAGTAGACTGGCAAAAAGTCAAGATTTGAAAACATGCACTGCTGGTATGGCTCTGAGAAATGAGGCTTCTCATACATTGCTGGTGGGAATACAATAGAGTAAGTTGGCAATATCTAACAAAAATACGGTTGCATTTGCTATCTGCTCCAGAAATCTCAGTTCTGGGAATGTGTTGTACGTGTGTGCCAGCACACATAGGAAATGACATATGGTCAGAGTTAATCATGGCAGCAATGCTTGAGAGAGCAAAGACTGGGGTGAGCCCATGCATCGAATGAGGGAATGGTTGAACAAATGATGGTACCTCTGCACAATAAGACACTATGCGGCTGTAAACAGTGCCATGCTACAACATGGATGGACCTTGAAAGTACTATGTTACGTGAAAGAAGCGAGCCACAAAGCAAGCCACAAAATGTATGATTCCATTTGTATGAAATGTCCGAAGAGGCAAATCTGTAGAGACAGAAAGTAGGTTAGTGGTTGCCTTGGGCAAGGGGGTGGGGTAGGAAGGTTGGCAGATGATGGCTAAGGGGTACAGGGTTTCTTTGCGGGGTAATAAATGTCATAAAATTGATTCTGATGATGGATGCACAACTCTGTGACTATATTAAGAGCTACTGAATTGTATACTTCAAATGGGTGAATTGTATGGTAGGTGAATTATATCTCAATAAGCTGTTTTTTATTATTATTGTTATTATTTTTTTAAGGATTGGCACCTGGGCTAACAAATGTTGCTAATCTTTTGTTTTTGTTTGTTTTGCTTTATTTCCCAACCCCCACCCGGTACATAGTTGTATATCTTAGTTGCAGGTCCTTCTAGTTGTGGATGTGGGACGCCGCCTCAACATGGCGTGATGAGCAGTTCCATGCTCGCACCCGGGATCCGAACCCTGGACCGCCACAGCGGAGCACACAAACTTAACCACTTGGCCACGGAGCCAGCCCCTCAATAAGCTGTTTAAAAAAAAGAGCAAGGATGCTCTCTTTATACTGATATGGAAAGATCTCCAAGATATAGTAAATAAAAGAGCAAAGTGCAGAGTAGTCAACCTACTAGGCAATATTTTGAGTAGGAAAGGGAGAAAATAGAAATGTGGCCCTTTGGCGCTGGCCCCATAGCCAAGTGTTTAAGTTCGCATGCTCCACTTTGGCAGCCCAGGGTTTTGCCGGTTCAGATCCTGGGTGCAGACATAGCACTGGTCATCAAGTCATGCTGAGGCAGCATCCCACATGCCACAACTAGAATGACCCACAACTAAAAATATACAACCATGTACCAGGGGGATTTGGGGAGAAAAAGGAAAAATAAAGTAAAACAAAAGGGTCCTTTTTGCTTGTATATAAAGACACACTGACAGATTACACATGGGGAAGGGGCAGTGGGAAGATAGAGATGGAGCCGAAATGTCCATGCATTTGTCATTGAACTTCCGGGCTATGGATATTAATTTAATATGATCTATTTAGCCAACATACATACTCGGCACTATATTTTAATCTTAGGATGATATTTTAAATTATGCAGATACATAACACATTCTTTTTCCTAGGCAGCTGGCTTTATCAAACTACCCTGATAGTGTGTCTGTCTGTCCTAATTGGAAATCTGTTAGCACTTCGGCTCAGCAAAGTGGTGGTAAAAGTCATGACCAGAAATATGCAAAGAGACGTGCCAAGAATGAATGAATTGATGAACCGGACTCATGAGCACGTGTTCCCTGAGCTCCAAAGATACTGGCCCTCAGCCTCCATTATGATTCCTGGGCATGTGTGTCAGGAGCTCTCACAGCAGCACAGCGGCTATCCCTGGCACCTACAGATTGTCACCCACGTGTATGCTGATGTGACAGGAAGGGACATGAGGGCAAGTGGATCAGGAAATGCTCTCACCTGCAGACCACACTTTGAAGAAGAAATAGCTGTTGAGTTAGGCTTCCTGTCGCACTTACAAAAATGTTATAATTCAGGGATTTCAAAAATTGATACCATCTCAGCTCTTTCAACCAATTCGAATCCATCTCCACCATAGAGATAGTTGAAAACCTGGCACTGTGCACTGTTACGTCTAACAGCTGGTGGGAGGCATGCCATTGCCTCAGACACACCAGTTACGGAGAGCAGTCCCATAATTAGCACGGCACAGTTGTTCTTGAATCACGTCCTGGGCTTTCTTTTTTGGTGTGTGTGTCTCTAGATGTTCCATTGGATTCTCTGTCTTCAAAAACTCTAACTCCAAATGGCAAAGCATGTGATTCCTCTTAGGTCACAACTCAGTAAATTGTCCAGTTACTCCACTATATTAGGATCAGAGAAAAACAAATCCGAAAGAAATGACTCTAACAAAAACAGTGGAAAATTCTGTTAAATTGGTGGTGAAGGACTCGTAGGAAATGAATTCTTTGGTAGGACAAATTGTTGATAGTAATAACACCCTTGGGGCCGGCCGGTGGCACAACGGTTAAGTTTGCACGTTCTGCTTCGGTGGCCCAGGGTTCACCGGTTCAGATTCGGGGTGCTGACATGGCACCACTTGTGAAACCATGCTGTGGCAGGCATCCCACATATAAAGTAGAGGAGGATGGGCACGGATGTTAGCTCAGGGCCAGTCTTCCTCAGCAAAAAAGGGGAGGATTGGCAGATGTTAGCTCAGGTCTAATCTTCCTCAAAAAAAAAAAAAAAAAAGAGTGGGTTGATAGATATAGACATCAAGTAAATCAGAAGACAGCCTTGAGAAGAAGCCACCATTTGAAATACAAACAGTCTTAATACAAAACTGAATTTCCCTTTCTATTCCTCTTCCTCAAAATGGGTAGTCATGCATAGTGTAAATTAAACACTAGACATGGCACACTGGTGACAGATTTCTTGTCATTATTTCTAAAGAGTGGCTTCAATAAATCAATTTACTTGTATTCTGATATACAACTAAGATAACTGACAGCTGGGCAATTATTAAAATAAAAACAATCAAATACAAATATGAGAGTTTTTTTCGGAATTTTTTCTTCATGTGTGCATAATGCAACGCAGTTTCTTAATGTCGTAAATTTTCTAGTTGCATATTAAGACCTTAGTACTTTGAATTCTAGACTATTAGCATTCCTTTGGAAAGAACTAATTGTTTTCTTGGGCAAAAGAAAATAGAGTTTTTCCAAAGATAATTTTTTTTAATAAAAATAGCCCCCATTCTGTCTCCTTGGTTCATGTACTTATTCTACATTACCCTCCTGAGTTCTAGAAAAATTAGTTTTTAAAAGAAAGAATAGACTTTAAAATGAAAGAATTTTTTATGGCTTAAGGGAGAAATTTACTAAAATTAAAATTAATTTTGGAGTGCCTGTGATTTAAATGGAGCAAGAATACATATCTAATTATTTATGTTTGGTCTACAAAACAACAATGCCACATTTTTCCTTGGCATGAAATAAGAATTTGTCAGTTCATAATGCACCAATGGATCATTCATTTACTCAGCGTCTGTTGAGCACCTACTCTCTGTCTGGCCCTGGGGATGAAGGGGTGAGCCAAACTCTTCCGATGTGCTCCGTCTCCTTAAGGAGGCCATCCGCAGACCCTCTGATCCAACTGCTTTTCCTGTAACTGGATGGGTCACGGACCTCGAGCTGGTTCCACGTGCCCAGCCTTCCAGTCGAGGGAGGGAAGCCAGTGAAGGAATCCTCACATAGGCTTCTGTAGCCCACGCCCTGGCGATGGGAGAACCTCTGCGCTGGGGAGAAGGGGCCCCTGTATATTGCAACTAATTGGCTACTTTATTCCCATTCATTTGAGCACATGTGGGAAACCCAAGGGGGAGTTTTGGAGAGGGGAATTACCAACATCCCCCCCCACCCCACTAACTGCTACCAGTGGCATCTTCACAATTGTCTTTAATGGTGTTTGACTTCACTCCTGCTAGATCAAAGGCTGTAAGAGGGCGAAGACGTGACTTATCCTCCTTTGTATCCCCTAAAGAGCTTACTTAATATGTACACATCTTGCACATAGCAAGAGGACAATGAATGTTTGTCTATACGATTTCCCTTCTTGCAGGAAGATAAAAGCCACATGTCAAGCACCATCAGCTGACTGTGTGAGTTAAGGAGTAGAGTCGTGCTGATAAGTCTAAAAGGACTTATATTCCAGTCCTGTTGGGTTTGACTGGCTGTGCATTGAATTGTTCTTGACCTCCTCTCTGCTCCTCTCTCATCACCTCCTCCTCACTGCCCCCTCACTCTCACCAGGACTAAGAAAACAACACAGGGACAAATCTCCAGGTTAGATCCTTTATAACCAGCTTATTGTACCCTTAAAGAGATGACGTTTAAGAAAGTATTTATTATTTCTCCTTAAAAAAATTTTTTAATCCTTTCTGGAGGTATGAAAATAACTAATTTCTTTTAGTTAATGCAGTAAAAAGTAATGACAAAATTGCATTATTATAGGTTACGGCAGTTGTAATAACCTAT